AATTGTGACTATTTTACATGAAAAACAATGTTTTTCTGTCAGCAATCTTAAGGCCCTTGATGTTTCTATCATATAAACTACTAAAATGGACTCATGTGGTGGCACTTCATTTGTATTTTAATAAATAAAGCTTGCTTGAAGATTAGAGAATAAAACAGCCCTGCTGGACAGTTTTACAGACCAGGTAGTGGTAACATACACCTTTAATCCTAGTAGCCATACTAGTTGCCACAGAAACCAGGCAGTGCATCCCTTGAATTTCAGTGGTGTATGCCTTCAATTCCAGAATTAGAGATGACTATAAAACGAAAGGAGAATGAGCCTCAGACTCATTCTGAGATTCCTGGAGGCAGAATCACCATTTTGGACTGAGGTAGAGATAAGAGATAGTGACTGGCTGTTTTGCTTTTCTGACCTTCAGGTTGATCTCCAATTTTTCTCTCTGAGTTTTTGTTAATTGTGCTTCAGGCTCACAATGTGTATTGACTAATTAGAGTACTGTTTAACTGTAATTTTCCCACACAGGTGTTTAAGATAATATAGTATTACTTTACCCATTACCAACATTTATTCTCTTCGTCCCTGAAACACTTTATAGAATCTAATAGCCTCCCTTCGACTTTTCTTTCATTTGTCCCCAGAATCCACATGTGAAAGAAAATCTAAACTTTGTTTCTATGGGATCCCGGTTTATCTCATCACTTCTGAGGACGATCTCCACTTCTCTCCATGATCCTGTTTTCCTTAATGGCTCATTTTTTTTTTAATTTTGTGATAAAATCATTTTCCGCTATGCAAGTATCTGAGATGCATGAAACTATTCCTGGCATCATACGAATTAAAGCCTGTGGGAATACTCCCTTTACTTTCAGAGATGAGCCTCAGTGTCCACTTCGAGACACATAGGCCCCATTCTTCCTTGTGACTTTCATTTTCTCCTACTGCTGCTTCCTTATCATAGGCCAACCACATCACCACATCTCATGATTCCAACGACCTTTTTCCTGCTATTTCTTCTGTTTGGAAATACATGTCCTAATTTGTAAGCCCATTAAAACACTCATTCTTCATGTCCCTGAAAATGCTCCTGTCTTCGGTTAAAGGTTTACTCAATGTCACACATTCAATCCTCTTCCCAGCAACAATGGTTGCTTTAAGAAAATAAAAAAAGGCACAATCTAACAAAAAATAAAAAGAAATAAGAAGAGGCAGATCAGTTTTCTTGTACTTGAAGTGATTGTCAAAATAGTTTTAATTTCATCCCCTTGTCTGTGCCTGCATCATTTCCAGTAGTTAGAGCATACCTTATGTGCTCTTCTACTTGTCTGGACATCAAGACTTTAGTCTGTGCTAACTTACTGGCATTTCATAGTTCTGATTTTATTTAAAATTGAGATATAATTAATCCATTAAAGTCTGTTCTTTAGTTTAAAAAAGTCCTCAGATAAATTCCTTCTGTATCACATAAAGTCTCAAAAAAAATGTTTAAATACGTGTTTGACTTTTCTAAACAGCTAGAAACAAGAGGCAAGAGATAAGATCATGGATGCACTTGAATCTTCTATCCTATTCTAAGCTTTAGAGAAACAGGACCGAGAATCCTTTTCACATCTTCAGCACCTGGAAAGTGCCTAGCCTGTACAGAGCACATAGTCATTGCTTGAAATATCAGTGAATGAACAATTGTACAAAATAAGCATGAGGATATTCTTTAAGCAACCAGTTAGTATGCTGTTCTTTGATTGCAAACAAGCCAAGTTTAGGAACTACAAAATTGCAGAAGAAAAGGACAAGGCACAGGAACCAGATTCAGGGCATGGAGAATTCTAGAATTGAAGAAACTAAGAATATTCTCAATAAGAACTAAGAATCAGGTAACAATGGATGCTTAAGCTTCATCTCACCGTATATGTCAAACGTAGAGAGGATGAGCACATCGGAATGAGGATATTGAAATGTGAGAATAAAACTAGTGAAATGTAATATATAACAGATTAGAGATTGAGTCCAAGTCACCATTGATGCATCAGAGTGACATTAATGAAAAAAATAAAATAAAAGCCCCTTTTCTTGGAGTTGATAAACCAAGCTTGAATCCAGATTTGAGTTCTTTTCTTCACGCTCTCTGTTTTCTGTCCTGTCTGTCTAGTGTATGCGCTAGCCTGATTCCTGTTGTCCTTAGTTCATTTGCCCTGGGTGTGTCTATCCCTGTGTGTCTGTTTTTAGTGTGTCTGTGTCTGAGTGGTGTCTCTCTTTACCAGACCCTAACAAAGGACTTCACACTATATCATTGTGCAGTCCAGGAAGCATCACATGAGAAAGGAATGGGATGCTTCACAGAAAATTTTAACAGAGTTTTATAAGAGATGAATTCACTGGCTCCAACTCATCCCCAACTAACCCAGTTAACAAACTTCATTTTTTATCAGCCAGTATAAACAGTCACTTTTAACTTTTATTGGAGATTCGAGGAGGTTACTTTCAACTTCTGCATTTGCTACTTTCAGCAAAAGATACACATAGTTTAAGGTCACATCTGTCTATTAGCTTAGATTGCAAATGTTGATTGCATGACAAGTATGTTAGTTATTACAATATTCTTCTAAACATAGGTCAAATAGTTTTAGTACACAGTAGGGTAGGTCCAGCAAAATTACAAGTCTCATAGAATGTAAGAGCTATTTTTAGAAAATTGCATCGCCACAAGTTCAGAGACCAAAAAGTTCAAATCAGTGGCTAAGCAAATTGTCTACCAGTTATAAATCATGAAGCCACAGGAGCAGATATTAAGAAGAAGGTTGTAAATCACTCTACGGAAGGTACCAATAGTCACTGTCAGGATATTTTAAAAGGATTTGCTTCAAAATTAGAGTCATTCAAAGAAATAACCAAATCTTGAATTTCTCCCTAGGAGCATAATTTTTAAATGTTTTTTCAAAGCCAAAAGAGTTTGCTACAAATTAGTGATAGCGTTCACTGGCATTTCTTTGTAATGGCCAAGAAGGCTCTTAATTATTGTTAGTCACTTGTGTCTTATGCTTTCTATCTTAGAAAACACGAGTTCTCAGTTCTACTATAGTAGAACATTCTATAGTCTTCCTGGAACTCAGTCTTGATTTTCACCACCTCCCTTTTGATCTAAGCCTTCTGGGAAAGTATTCTTCCTTATAGCTACTGTTCAATGTACTGTTGCCCTTCAAGACAGAGCCAAAAGGTTAACTTGTCCATGAATTCTCCCGGATTACATGGACCAAGATGAGAAGTTCTTCAAGACTTGGTTTTACCTCTCTATGGTAACTGTCATTCTTCTTAGGAAGACTCTTTAGGATTCTCAACTTTCTTCTCATGCAGGCTCTTCAAGAAGCAAACTGGTACCCATTACCCTGAAATTCAGAAACTTTAAGAATTTCTAATAGGTATTAGAAACTAATTTAATCTTAAAATAATTAATAAATATTGATAATACAAAGTGTGTTTGGAGTTCATTGTAACTGCCAATGAATTTCAGTTGATGAAGGTTTTTTGTTTCCTTGCTTGCTTTGTTTTTTAATATATATCTTTTTTTTAAAAGAACAGACAACAAGCAAACAGAAACTATCTCCCTATCAAATAAGCAATAAACTCTAAAAGTCATTCATGTACTAGTTGGTAGTAAATGCTAAAATAAATAAAAATAAAAAGATAGGAGTCTAAATTTTAAAATTATTTCAGCAAAATTAATCAAACTTTTAAGTCTAATTAAATTTTGACTAACTCATAAAGGTATGAATATTCTGGAGGATCATATGATCAATATATATATATTCTGATAGGTCTGCCTTTAAATGTTACTTGGCCTTTTTCCTTTGCAGATTTTAATATTCTTTCTTTACTCTGTATGTTTAGTGTTTTGATTATTATGTGGCAGGGGACTGTTTTTGGATCCAGTCTATTTGGTGTTCTGTAAGCTTCTTGCATCTTCATAGGCTTATCTTTCTTTAGATTGGAAAAGTTTTCTTCTATGATTTTGTTAAATATATTTTCTGTTCTTTTTAGTTGAACTTCTCCTTCTTCTGTACCTATTATTCTTAGGTTTGGTCTTTTAATGGTGTCCCATATTTCCTGGATATTTTGTGTTAAGCTTTTGTTAGATTTAATGTTTTCTTTGACTGATGAGTTTATTTCCTCTATTGTATATTCAGTGCTTGAAATTCTCTCTTTCATCTCTAGTATTCTGCTCTTTATGATTGCATTTGTGGTTCCTGGTCATTTTTGCATGTTTCTTTGTTTCTATAATTTCCTCAACTTGTGCTTTCTTTATTGTCTCTATTTCAGTTTTTAAGTCTTGAATAGTTTCTTTCACATGTTTGATTGCTTTTCCTTGGTTTTCTTTAGGGAATTTGTTGATGACTTCCAATATTTTATTTGTCTTTTCCATTTCTTTGAGGGAATTTTTCATTTCCTCTTTAAGGTCATTAAACATTCTCCGAAAGTTATTTTCAGATCATTTTCTTCTGCTTCATCTATATTTGGTCGTTCAAGTCTTGCTGTTGTAGGATCACTAGTTTTTACTGGTGTCGTGTTGATCTTTGTGGTGTTGCATGTGTTCTGACCTTGCTTACCCATCTTTTCCTGTGATTGATATAGTTGGGGCTGTCTGTGACTCTGGTGATCAGTCTTCCAGGGGCCAGTAGATCCATGGCTCAGATGATTGCCTCTTGTGGTGCGGTCGGCCACAGGTCCAGTCACCCTGTTGGTCACTCTATGCTCCTGGATGTCGCTGGTGTTCCCGGGATTTCCTCTGCAATATCAGTGATCGTTTGGACCTGTTTCCACAGAGATTGCTTGTTTGGGGCTCTTTCTGCCGAGGTTTTGCCTTGGGCCTGCTTTGGTAGGCATCCTGGTTCAGGCCTACTTCTTTCTTCAGCGGTTCCGGATTTGTGCCCCAGACTTGCAGAGGTCTCTGGTTCCTGCTTTCTCCCTCCCAAAATAGATTTCTAAAGAATAAAATGTTGACCCGCCTGCTCTGTCCTGTTCCAGGGTCCCCGCTCTGTGCCCTCTGCGGGTGAGAGGGAGCAGCGTGGCCAGCTCCCGGCTAGAGCAGCGAGGTCCCGCGTGTGCCTTCTGGGCATCAAAGATTGGCACCCATTGGGGACAAATAAACCCGGTGTGACAGGAGAATGTGACTCTTGTCCTGCCCCAGAGAAGCAAGTCACTGAGTGTGGAAAACTATAGCCATGGAAACCCCAAAATCTGAGAACAAAAAGAGGGTCCTTCCCTCGTGGATGACAGCCCCTGGGGATGAGCGGAGGGAGCTGTCAGCGAAGACACCCAAAAGGAAGAGGAGAGCGGCTGTGCAAGATGGAGCAGCAACAAGGGCCCCTGCAACGAAGACCGTGTACTGCATGAACGAACCTGAAATGGTCGATGTGGCCCTGGGGATCCTGATTGAGGACCGGAAACAGGAAACACAGTCTCTGGAGACCGCTGATAGACTGCAGCTCTCCCTTCCCTACTCGGCATCTCCTCACACCAGTTCCCCCGGGAGCAGCAGTGAGGAAGAGGGCAGCGGGAGCAGCTCGCCTGCTCTAGACCTGAGCCCTTCCCGGGGGGCCAGAAGCTGCCGACTCGCCTTGTAGCAGCAGCCCGCAGGAGGAAAAGGAGGAGGAAGATGTGTTAAAGTCTGTCAGGAAGATATTTTTCAGTTGATGTGAACTGTTCACTGGACTCTCTGCTGAGTGCGGTGGGGTCTGTTGAGAACTCAGGATACTGCCTACCTCTGCTACCATTGAAAACCAGGCCTTGCTTCCTGCTTCCAGTCCCAGGAGGCTTTCATTGGGGGGGGGGGGGTCTCTGAATGGGGGGACATATTGCAGGATGCACAAATGCATCCCATTAGAGTCTCGTCCTGCACTGCCCTCTATCTCAGAGGGTCTGGCATCCCAGCCCTGGGTTTTATTCAAGTACCAGCAAAAATGAGGTCAGGAGCTCACTTGCTGGAAGCGAAGTTATAGATGCTGAGAACGCTGGCCTTCCAGATGGGCAGCCAGAGCTCACCCTAAGGAGGAAGCCTGTGCACATCTCCGTCATGACATAGTCCAGCAACCGACTTCCCCCACCAGCCCAAAACCCTGGCGGCTGCCCACAGTTCCCTGCCAGACTAACGGCAGGGGGTTCTCCCAGACTGGGGAGCCAAACAGGCCCTCTCTACCACCTGTCCCCTCTCTGCCACTCAGGGACTCCCCCGTGGGAGGTGGGGACAAGAGACACTGAGGACAAAAGATCACACCAGAGTCCACGTTTCTTTGTATTCACGGTGGCTCTGATGAGCACAGAATGAAGAACTCATAGGTTTTGTGCTGTACAAACATTGAAAACTATATAATGATGCGCCTGGGTGTAATAAGGACCGCACTTCTGCCTTTTGGGGGTGCGGTGTGTGTTGGTGTGCAGTTATTCAGTCCAGGCTATGGCACATCTTGCATTTCCTTTCCTGGGTCACAACCGTGGTTTGACAGCTGGCTCCTCTCTGGCGTCAGGTCCAGGGGCCTGTTCAGGGGACCCCACGAAGTTAGCAAGGATTCTCTTGTGCCCTGTGTTTCCTAGCGGAGTCCCTTTGAGGTTGTTCCTGGACCTCAGGGGCTGGAGTTCTGGTGTGGGGCATCACACTAGAGGAACAGAAGCTGGCCAGCAGGGCTTGACGTTAAAGCGGTTTCTTCCGGCCATCCCGTTTGTCGCCGTAAACCTTCACCGAGTTCTTGTTGGGCACTTTTGCCAGCCAGCTTGGAAATCTGGCCTCTGACAATCAGGCTCCTACCTGCCTGAGCTGTTCAGATTGTCTGACAAAAGCATGGATCCTTGTGCTGATGAGCTGCGTGGTTTCCGAGTCCTCCAGAGAAAGGAAGGACACTAAGAGGCAGCAAGTACGCCGGCCATCCGTGCTGCCTCCGGGCTCCCTGACACTGCAGCCCTACCGTTCAGTGGGTGGTTCCATCTGCCCGAGCTTGAGATCAGCATTAGCTATGAAACAAGGTGGTTGAGAAGACCCACCCAGTCACAGGTTCTCTGGCACCTCCTGGGTGCGTAGTCGGAATTGAACCCTTGCAATCCCATAAGCCTTTAGGCTGGACTAACAGCTCTCCCGCTTGCTCTTGTCCTTCTTTTCCTGCGGAGGGAACATAATGGTAGCCATAAGCAGGAAGATGAGCAAGGCGTGGGCTAAGCACAGAGCTAGAAAGCTGGGCTCCAGCAAGGCGAGCCTGACCCACTTCCACACGTAGGAGAGGAAGAGGCTCAGTCCACTGGCCAGCAGGACGGAGGATGCCACCAGGAAGCCCGCTGCCAGCTGCTGCTCTCCCTCATTGCCGTTGCACTGGGCAAGGAGGAGAGGCAGAGGGACAAAGATCATGAGGACCAGGGCTCCGTACACACCCAGCCTGGCCAGGGCTAGGCCAATCTGAGGAACCCCCAGCGCTTCCAGCTCAGGAAAGTTGTAGCACTGTAGGGAGCCAGTGTCCTCCTTCCACAGACAGAAGTTGTAGAAGCCGATTCTCAGGTTAGGCAGGTCGGCGAGGTTGCCAGCCTTCCAGAGGAGCGCATAGAACATCAGAGGCTCACAGCCACGAGGATCATGATGCCTACGAAGGGCAGGCAGTTGCTCCGCCACAGCCTGGAGATAGCCATTTCTTCCGCCCTGGAAGGTCACACCAATGAGTATCCAGCCCTTCCCTCAGCCCTTGGTGTTCAGAAGCTCCTGGTCTTTGTGCCCTCACCCAGACAGGAAGTCTCAGGTCACAGTCAGGTGCCACTCACAGACCCTCAGTGGACCTCTGGTGTGAGGTCTTTCCCAGGTCGCCGTGGAAACCCGAACCAGAGCCCTGACATCAAAGGCTTTATTGCAGCACAGATAATATAAACCGTCAGAAGCTCTGTGAGGGGGTGTCTCATCCTCGTGGAGGTGAGTTGGGGTGCAGGCTTGATTTGAGTCTCGCTTCTCACCCTGCTGACAACCACTTGGGGAACTGGAAAGAAGGCATCCAACCGGACTACATGCCAGTCAAATCGGTGCCCGTGTTCTGGGTGGGCGCTGGCTGGATGTGAGGCTGGGTGGAGGATCCATGGCCTGTGTTTCCTGCCCAGTTTTAGGAACTGACTTGGGTAAAACAGGACCCCCCCCCATGAAGAAATCCTATCATTTCACTCCACTGGTTTTAAGATGTCTGTCTGTCCACTCCCCCATACAACAGTAATCTGTTTTGGAAAATTCTGGAAATATGTTTTAAAGCAAAAATTAAAATAATCATTTATCCTAAAAAAAAGAATAAAATGCTGTATGCCTAAATTTTGTGTTTTACAGTAGTATGTAATAAGATGGGAGAAGACTGGCATTTTCTGATTGTGGTGAGTGTTAATTGTCAGATCTTGCGGTATACGATAGAATTTCAGCCAAGTAGCTTATATTCACCAGAATTTTATCTTGCCTTTCATAAATTCAGTTTACTGTACTAACTTAAAAAAGCAGTAAGATAAAATGTTTTTAAAAACTAGGAGAGATTAAGGGATTACATATGATCTACTACCTCAATCACAGTAATGATTATAATGAAAATGGCCCATTAAAAAAGACTTATTTGAGTGGAAATATCTAGATTCACAATATGTGTCATTTTTACATGGTACACATATGTTTACGACACTGAAGATTAAGAGAACAAGTTCCACATCTCCTTTATAAAATTCTTATCAAAAATGAAAAATCATTTGTTATTATCATTCTAGGTATAGTATATTGGATGGCACAGTTTTCATTCTTAGTATCGAGATTTCAGTGCTTCTTTTTAGAAATTTAAAAATATTCTCCTTATGACAAGATAATTCTGCCATGCTGCTAAGTAGTTATATTGGAGCCTACACAATTATTTACTTTGCACCATTAATGGCCTGTTTCTTTTTTAAAGCTCAGGCAATCACTGTGACAGTGAGATTCAGGGATTTAGATGATTTGAGTTGCCTGTCTTCTTTGTTCTTTCTTCAAAGAAATGTCAGTCAAGTCTGCTTCTGATCAGTGCTTCTGGAGAACAAGGCAGAAAATTTGCACTTGTCATTTAGTCATTTTTAACAATGTTAGAAAAGAAAAGATTGAAACATTTATAAATTTCTTTGGAGGTGCTTTTGCCGCTCAAATGTGCTGAGTGGGAGGTTTCTTTTCAATGCTTTAAAATCATATTCTGTCTGAAAGCCATTTTAAGAGTCCAAATAACCAGAACTGGCATGTTAGGAATCACGAGACGCCTGCAAGTTATTTTTAAAATGACTGCTGTGTGTCAATCATTTCCACGGCAAAACATTTACTCTGAAATTATATTGAATGAGGTAACCTACCCAGTTCAAGCTGTGATGTTAATGTAATAAAGATTAACTCACTTTGTAATGATCTTTGGGAGAAGGATAAGCAGGACAGGCTAGAGGAATGATGAACTGCAGTTCGCTGGAAATTCCACAGGCACAGAGACTAACTAAAGCAATGGGGCGTTTTCCCTGTTGATGAGGTTTACTGGTTTTCTATGGTGTGTGTGAGTATCTCTCTCTCTCTCTCTCTCTCTCTCTCTCTCTCTCTCTCTCTCTCTCTCTGTGTGTGTCTGTGTGTGTGTGTGTGTGTGTCTGTGTGTGTCTGTGTGTATGTGCGTGTGTACTTTTTGCAAGACTGTGTTTCTGTGGTAATATTCACAAAGGCATTTGTGTGTGTGTGTGTGTGTGTGTGTGTGTCTGTGTGTGCATGCTATTATCTTCCACTCTAGCTATCTAAGTGATTTTTGAACACTTAAGCTCCTATTTTATTACATGGAGTACATCTCTGCTGTTTCTCTTTGTATCATGTTGAGGTTAGAGGCCAGGTTCTACTTGAACACAGGAGAAATACCTGAGTGGTTTGAATGTTGTTGCATGAAGGATTTAAAGGTACTGGCAGGTTTGCCCATGCCAGTGTATGCATATTTAATTTTAATGTATTAAATAATAAATACTCATATTTAAATGGTGCTGTGAAAAATGAATTTCGAGTGTCTAAAATTTATCAGAAAACTCTGCAAGAGGTAATAAACTTTCTATCTGTGTAGGTTTGTTTAAATGAGTTTCCCCATCACCTGAATGATGTGTATAGTGATAGTTGGAGGCTCAGTTTTATGAGTTTTTCCAGTCACAAAGCGCTCTAAACCCACCAAAGATATCGTCCTATACTAATACATACTATGTTGTGCATATCTTTCTCTGTCCCACCAGATAGCTCCCAAATCACAACATGGAGACTTATTGTTAATCATGCTAACCCTGCTGATAGCTTAGGCTTGTTTCTAACTAGATCCTATAACTCAAATTAATCCATATCTCTTAATCTAGGTTCTTTTGTGTGGTTCGGTTACCTTCACTTTGTATTGCCCATGTAGCTTCCTTTCTGTCTCCTGTTGTTCCTCTTCTTCTTCCCAGCATCCTTTTTGCCAGGAAAACCTTCCTAGCTATTGTCCATTTAGCTTTTGATTAAACCACTCAGAGAGACACAGCTTCATGGTATACTAAAAGATTTTTTTCACAACAGTGCACAGCTTTTTAGAAGGACTCACCAAAAAGATACTAATTATTTATAATACAAATAATTAAAGTTCAGATGTAAGTTGTGGGTCTTATTCAAAAATGAAGGGAAAATCCTAAAACTCAAAACACTGAGACCTGAAAGCGACAGTGAACAGGGATTGGCTAATCAAAAGAATACTTGATCCTAGCCTTAGGGAGGCTCCATAATATTTGGAAGAGATAGAGAATAATGAACAGAAGAATGAATGAATATGGCTAGTAGAACCAGATTTTAAGATCCATGAATATCAGATAAAGAAGAGCAAAGAAAACCAGAGACACAGAGCAAAAACAACAAAAACATCTGATCACTGTTTATTGCAATGGTCATTTAAAAGAATAGAAGAGTTTAAGATTAGAATACGATTAAATAGAGAATAAATGCTTAGTAAAATAAATTAATGCAAATATTAATAAAAACACTTATTTAACAGGCACTATGTCTCAGGCACTGTACTAATATTTTAACTATACTTTTCTCAAGTAGTAATTGATCACAGGTATCTTCCAGCCGTTTATTATTTAATTAAAAGGACAACAGAAGCATTGCGAGTCAACAATCTGAGGCCCTTCTGGAAACCACAGGAGCCTATAGTATCTGTGAGGACAGGTGGCCAAAATTCTGCGTTTTGTTTCCTACTTATTCTGAAGTACTATAACCAGAAAATTGTAGCCACTTAGTTCATATGATGGTACGACTCCAGAACAAACAAACCCTTTCAAAGAGGACTGGAGCATAGCTCAATAGGACAGTGCTTCGCTAGCATGCATGAGGACCTAGATTGGATTCTCAACAGCAGGAGCAAGAGTGTGTGCTAACAAAACCAATACAGCTCAGAAGAAAATCACACTTCTGACTATGAAATTCTTTTCAGAGGTGTAGTTTGAAATAGCTAAGGCAAATAAGTCATAAAATATACATGAGCAGAATGTGGCATTGAAAACACAAAGAGAAAAACATTGTATTTAAGACAAATAAACAAAACTGATTTATCCCAGGAAGAAAATCCTTGAGGGCTTTGGATTTTTTAAAATAAAATATACATAAATGCAATGACAAAATTATGTAAACAAAAGATGAAAATACAGCAAACTGGCAGTCAAAGATCGGGACTTGAGGGCAGATGGATATCAATAGCTACTAGAAATATAATAAAACACGTAGCAATGTGACTGCTAATGTCTTCCTACAGGACAGGGTGTCAATGCACATCCCAGAACAGTTTCTCTCATGGAAATTTGAAGTTGGCATCCAGGGACAGAACACCAAAGACAGAGAGAATGTGTAACATGTGGGCTGACTTGTTGGGGTTCTGTCCCACTCAGTACCCCACAGTCGGCAAATGCCAAGGAAAATCACACACAGGACTCCATAAGATTATAAACTGATTGACCCATTAGGTCAGGCTACTTATTAGCTCTTATAACTTATGTTACCCCATTATCCTCATCTACGTTAGCACATGGCTCAGTACCTTTTCCAGCGGGGCAGCTTACATCTTTCCTCTCCGGTGGTCTGGGCAGAACTGCAGAGGGAGCTTCCTAGAATACTCCCAGTCTCTTTGCTTCACCTCTACTTCCTGTCTGGCTTTCCTGCCTATACTTCCTACCTGGCCAATCAGCATTTTATTAAAATATGATTGACAGAATACAGACAATTCTCCCACATTATTTCCCTCTTTTTTTTTTAAACAAAGGAAAATACCCATAGTTCATTTATTGGGAATGTGGGTGTAGTATTTCAGGCTACTTCCTGCTGGTTGGGGGCACTGATGATCTTATGGAGACCTAAAGAAAATTTAGTTATAATCAAGTCCTGACTGGAGTATCCTGTGAGTCTTGATCATCTCAGGCAGCAGTCTTGAATCTGTTCTGGATGTAGAACTCTGTCATCTGGGCCATCTGTTCCTATCGGAGATTTCTCAGGTGGTCTTCCTTTTTCGAACCTGATTTTTCTTAACTGAGAATGAACCCATAGCCTCTCATTTTCTGTGGAAACAAAAGCAAAATCTCTTCTCCAAAGTAACATACCTTTTGACTTCAATTTTGAAGCCAAGGTATTTTCAAAATACCTACCTTGGGTTAGTTCAGCAGCATTTATAAACAAAAGTCTTTTAGCAACTATTACTGCTTGCTCAGCATTCAAACAATTCAAAGAGAGCATAATAACATACAGTATCAAGATTCTCTGTGTATTTTCCATCTTTATGCAGCTTTATTTTAACCTCTATTTCTTTTACTTTTACTTTTTGAGACAGGTTCTCTGTATATCTTTGCCCTGGAAGAACTCTGTAGACCAGGCTGTCCTTGAACTCACAGAGCTCTGTCTCTGCCTTCCCAGTGCAGGGATTAAAGGTGTATGCTACCACACCTTGAAGTCACAGAGGTCAACTACCTCTGCCCCTTAAAGTCTCAGAGTTCAATTTACCTCTGCCTCCAAAGTATTGCGATTAAAGGTGTGTACCACCACACCCAACTACTCTCTTTCTTTCTTTACTTTAAGAACTTTAACTTTTAGCCTGCATATATTTTTAACACACTGTAAACCATTTAGAGGTTTTCTTCGTCTTTGAATCTCTCTTTACTGTATATCTCTCTTTTTCTGACCACATGAGCCTTTAATTTACTAAGCAATATGGAGAGCCCTGGCTTTGACAGCTAGATCCAGCCCATT